CCGAAGCAACCCGAAATACCAATAAATCTTTTGGTGAAGATTCTGTGAAGAGCAGACCCCCAGGTATTGGTTCAAAAAATTTCATTCCAGAAATAAAAATCTCAAAAATCAGAATTGAAGAATGTCATCGAATCAGAACATCAGCTGACTGTTCCGGAAATCCCGGAAAGATTGAACATAGTGGACATTATTCAACCATTCTCGACATCTAAACATGTTAGGGAAAGCCAAGAAGCTCGACATATGGGCAGGGATGTCGTTTCCTCTAGGGAAGGAATGGAAGACTTTATACCTCACATTTTTGTAGGTATGGAATCTTATACCTCAGAATATTGAAAAAAATATTCATAATTAATTGCAAGGCAAGCCAAGGCACTTGCTCTCTGTATGAAAACAAATTTTTTTCCTTGGATGTTGACCAATCAAACTCTTACATAATTCAAAGTACAGTATCAAAATTTTTCTAACTCTGAGCAATTCATCGCTCAGTAGATAGCTCTAGATGCGATTTTTTTAAATATTCAATTTAAATAAATTTTCTTTACTTCAAAATACCAATTATTAAGGTTGTTGGTGCCAAATGCCATTTTCTTACGAAAGCGTTGAAACTTGAGGTATCAGTTATTAATACTACCATACATAAGTAGTTTAAGTTTTGTTAAGATTTTACGTGTCGTTATCGAGATACTCAACTTTGAATTTGCATATTTTAACGAGTCATTTTATGGGCAACTAATTCAAAAACACCTATTTTCGTTAATAAATTTAAAAATTTTCTTACCGTTAATTTAAAAAACTATTATTTTACGTAGATTTTTATGTGAACTTTTTTGTGTGATTATTCATTGGATGTAAAAAAGCAAACACGAAAATATATACTTACAATATTTTATTTACTACGTAAAGGGGGATCCTGCTTTCACAAAATTCCATACCTCAACTTCTAAAGAACCGACACCCATGCATATGGGTACCACACGAACTCAGTGACAGAGAGATAAGGAGTATCATTTGGAGATCTGCAATTCTTTAATTAATTATTCGTCACAGAAATGAAATTATTCAAATAAAATTCTTCCCCATCCACCTTATTCTACAGATTTCCACTTTGAACTTTTTATACATTTGGACAATTTTTTGGCAAGGAAAGTCTTCACGGAAGATGACTTAATCAAAAGTACTTTTAATGACTTTTAGGCTTCTCATTCTTGTGGCTTCTATCAAATTGGCGTTAATGCATTTCTATTGCATTGGGAAAAGTGTAATAATGTTGGTGGAGACAATTTTGATTGAATATGTAAGTTTTAAATTAAATTAATAAACGTTCAAAGTCAGAAGTAAATTTCATTTCATTTCATTTGCAACAACCTAATACAACAACCGTGAAAGTAAAAAACTGTTTATATAAGATCCTCTACATTTCGCAGTATTCCAATACTGTACATTGCTATGAATTTTCAGTTATTATTTATTTTTTGGTTGTCTTGATCAGATTAAGTCTTGGTTTACTGCGTTATGGCCTACACTGTAAGCCAATATCAATAAAAATTCCTATAGATTGAGAATTCATGGTTTTAATGATTTATGAAATAGTTTTAATCAGGCTCAGGTCTTGTAGAATTGGTTAACTCAAATAATGAACACAGAAATGCTCCAAAAGTTAAACTTTTATGTAAAAAATATAATATGAAAGTAATAAGTTAAAATTTCTTTTATTTAATGAAAAAATTCTGTTTATTATTATTATTATTTATTATTCGTGATTTTCTAGCTTTCCGAAAAGAGAAAGTTTCGCATTTGTGACTAGTAGGTTCCCATGTCATCCATCTCAACTGGTTTTTATTAATATTGCATCCCATTTAATACTAAAAATATCTTATTTAAAATACCAAAATATAAATCATCATCATCATCGATACTATTAAGCTATTGTGTTTTATATTCAGTAAAAACAAATTCCTCTAATATTTTAATATAATGAAAAATTACATTAATTTACGTAAAACAATTTATTTTATCTAATAATAGCATTAAACATCTTTAATTTTAACAATAATTACAGTATTCTTTATTAATTATTTTGCGAGGGTGAAACAAGCAAAAAGGAAAGAAGAAGAAGAAAAAAAAAAACATTATATCGTATATTAGCTTACCCAATCCAATTTGTCAATCACTGGACCGAAAACTGTGTGAAAAAACAGGATTCAACAACAAAATAGCTTAACGAGTTCAATGACGTTCCATTTTGACGCTTCATTTTGACACTACATTTGTTACAGCATCAAAACGTAATCACGAATTCATCAGCATCAATTCCCTATCTATAAATCTTTAAATAAGATTTACTAAAATATTTAAAAGGTTATTATTGCTTAATCATTATTTATAACTAAATAAATCTTGATTAATTTTTTTAAAAATATAATTAAACATGAGGAGGAATCAACGAAGCTTCCAAGGATTGTAAACACGTCATAACGACGTCACTATTATTCAGTAGGATGTTTTTATTATCAGAGGTCAAAGCCGTGTCTTTAATGGATTTCCAAGAGAAATTTCACATGTGTTCACTGATGCTGAATTAATGTAACATGAGATATCCACTAATTACAACATTATCACTATATACAAAAGAAAATATACATTGAAAAATATTTTTCATGCTAGAAAAAAGTTTTCTCAAGTGTGTAAATGATGTGATGTTAATTTTATGTCTTAATTTAAACCAGTAAACAATTTTATTGATAACAAATCAAATACATTATTACATGAAAATATAATTAGATTATTTTAATATATATAAAGATATAATTTTTAACATTATTTTAACAATTTTTATATGACTAGAATATTAATAAAAATATCAATTTTTTAAATAATAATAATTCATTTTTATACATTGAAAAATACATTTTAACATTAATAATATGTATATTTTGAATTATATTATAAAATTAAAAAAAAAGTTTTTATTATGAATCAATAAAAACAATTCAAATTTAACGATAATATTTTGAAATATTCAAAAGTTAATATCAAGAATAAAATAATATATATGTACAGTACATATATAAGAAATTGCTATATTTTATTATGATTTAATTGGATATTAAAACTTTATCAAAATTAAAGCAGATAAAACTGTATAATTTTTAAATGTAATAATATATATAAAATTTAAAATTTTGAATGATATCAAAGTGTTTAATACAAAGTAATAATATTTTTCCACACCTTATATTTCTATATAGTGTGTTGGATCAATATTTCAAATTTTGATATAGCTAATTCATCTTTTTCATGATTTATTAATTAAAAATTATAACTAATTCTTTGACTAAACAAGTCTTATCTTTAGTAAAAAATGAAGATTTTTGAGAGCTTTCCTCCAGATACATAAAAAGAAAGGAGCAGAGAAGTCTAGGTGCTAAATGCTTGCAAATAGAGAAGGATCATGGGGTCTGGGTATATAGCCTGTTAGGCCTGCCATATCTTCTGTGCAATACTCTCAATTTATTATATTTCTTTTCTCTCCTTTTATGAACTTGAAATTACTTTTCTAGACTCCAGAATTAAAATTTTAATATATAATATTAGTCTCCTGCAAAGGTCCAGATACAGTGCTACTGTCCCAGCTTCCCCTCTCTTTTGTTGGTCCTGACTAAATGAGAAAAAGTACCATATTTTGTACTCTTTTATTAGATAGTAAATAATTGAAAAATGTTAGCATTAATATTACTAATACTGATATTAATGCTAATATTAATTTAAAAAATGTTAAAAAAAATTAATGTTTTATTTGTTATTGGTGTATGTACAAAACTATACTATAGAGTTTGGCATCTGAAGACAATATAAAGTATATAAATTGTCTTTGGATTCCCCTTGACATACTTTTGGTCTTTTCTCAATTTTAAACCCTTCTCTTCCAAATTAAATCAAAAGATTTGAAACCAAGGAGACTCAAAACATTTATCATTAGGGCTGTCCATGTGGGCTGTCCAGAAGGGATTGTGAAAAGTATATCATTGTACACAATGATGAAGGAAAGGATTGAAGCATATGAATTTTTCCTTATAAGCCTATTTACTATTCATATGAATCAGTTAAAAAATAAATATAGAACTTTTTAAATCATTCCTTTACGACCATGAACTACTACAGATGTAATTAAAGGGAAGGGGGCTTGCCAAAAGTACATCATTGTACAAAACAGGGAGAGAGAAGGTCAAAAATGGCTTGAAAATTGTACAAGGTAATTAATGAATGCCTCTGTACTAAATTTGAGAATGTCATTAGTCAAAGAATTAATTATAACTTTTTATTAAAACTAGTAAAAATAAAACCCAAGAAATTTTTAAAATTAAAATTCTTCTGTTTTTTTCATTTAATCTGAAAAATATTTCATAAAATGATCAAAATTTATTCTTGAAAAAGCATTTAAAAAATTAAATTATAATAGTAATCTTTAAGTTTAATAATAATAATAATTTGAGTTAGGAAATATTTCTGATTAAATATTCCATCATAAAAAATTAAACTTTGCGTACACAATTTTGTTTTAAAACAATATTAAGTTCTTATAATTACATTATCATTAAATGACATCACAGATAACAATTTAATACATAAAAATTCATTATTATAAAAAGTTTAAATACCATATACTTTCAACGATAAAACCTCAAGCTGAATATTAATATATCCGATTAAGAATTGTTCAAATGATTATCAACAAAATCAAGATATATACATAATTTACTTAATTATCAAACAAAAGAAATGGAATTAAATATATAGAAAATATTAAAAAATTGTTATACAATATTATTTAAATGTATAATTACATTAAAATAAACTTATTTTTTTTAATATGAATAATGAGATTTATTAACATCAATATATATTTATGAATTTCAAATTCAAATAAAACAAGTAATTTTATTATAAACTAATAATTTTAAAACAACAAATTAGAAAGTATATTCATTTCAGTTATTTATAAACTAAATAATATTGGAATGTTGTAACAAATAAAATCAATATCACTTTGTTGTAAAATTGTATCCTTAAAAATCATATTCGGAAACAACTATTTTAATGAATGCAAGATGTCTTGAAAGTGGAGGACGATGGCTTGATTGTGAATAAAGAATTATTGACATTTCTAATTTTAAATTAAGTTCTAGTGGTCCTATGAGTGGTTGCATTAAACGAAGAGAACCTGTAAATCAAATTTTATATAATTAAGGTAAAATAATAATGCTTTATATCAAGGATAACACAGACAGATTATTTTAATGATTAAGATTATATATCATTCAGAACTTAGACTATTATATATAAGTTACATGATTTAAATTGAAATGTTTAATTAAGAACACAAATTTGAATCTTATGATGAGCAATCAGAAGTTTATGCAAAATATAATATATATAAATTATATGAATTTAACATTTTCAATAAGTTGTTACTGTTCCTATGCATGTGATTATGTCTTAAGTAAAATCATGTTGTTCATGTGTATTTGAAAAGGACAAGATTTAAGGCATAAAGAGAAGATTTTTATATAGATTTGATAAACATAGCAGATTGAAGACTTGAAATGATTTCCAGCATGAAGAAAATGCTCAGAACATATGAAAAATTAGAATTTGTTTAAAGAATGAAGGAGATCATACAGGTAACTTTTAATTACAATTCATTTTAAATAATTAGTATAATTTCCTTTTTTACTGTCAGTAATACAGTATTTTTTGTATATACATATATATATATATATATATTTGTTATTAAAATTTGATATTCACATTTTGAACTTTTTAAAAGCATGTATTTATATAAAGTACTTTTGTGGCCCATTGGATATACAGTACTTAAAATTCTAATTTGGCCCATTAGGAAAAAGGTTGGACGATCTTGGACTAGATATATTCAGTCCTGCCCCTGACTATCTTTGTCAGTTTAGTTGAATCTATGATATGCATGGAAAATAAGGTTCATTTACACCCATAAGACAGAACAGGTTAAAAAAAACTGAATTGTGGATAACTAATCTTTAAATACATTTAAATGTAAGTCTATATAATTTAGAAAAATTAAATTAAAAATATCTACATAAAATACATTATGTAATAGAATATATATGTATATATAATTTCATACCAACTCCTTTTCCTTTAAGTACATCAAAAATTCTTCCTTCATTCCCTTCCAATATTACATAATTTGTTTGAAAAGACACTGAATGATCTCGAGTTACAGCTCTCATTGTTGTCAAAATGATTGGAGATGGTAAAACTGGAAATGATGGAAGTGCAATACTCTGATATGTTAAAGTTTGCGTATTATTAAGTACACAATCAATATCATTTGAACGACAAAGCTTTTTACATAAGACTGTGGCTTCTTTTAGTAGCAGTCTGCAAAATATCATGCTCAATGTTAATAAAAAATATGTATAAAAAGCATAAATAATTTAATGCAAATAAAATGATACTAACCTCAAGTTTAATAATTATTGATTATCTTAAAGAATAATTACTTTAACAGTAATAACAATAACAGAATATAAACATTAAATATGTGTCTTGAATAATTTCATATAAGTATATGAAAACTTTCATATTTATTGAAATTTATGATTTTTAAAAGTAAATAACAAATATAGTAACCTGATTAAAATATTGCAATGAGGAAAGAATCAACCTTTAATGTCCAGCATAAAGCATAAACCTGTAAAATCATTATTGTTTTTTCTTTATTCTAAACATGAAGATGGCTACTTAAGGTAATTGAAAATATTTATTTTCTTCTGATTTTTATGCTATATATTAAACGCTAAAGGCTGATTGTTTCCTTTTTAAAAATAATTAAACAAATTGCTCCAATTTTTAAAATAAAATATGTAAAATGCTAAGGTCTAGTACTTTATGGTTAGATCATAACATTTCTTTTTAGATGTTATTTAGAATGAAATAATGTGGTTATATTATGCAGATATATTCAGAGTATTTTTTAATGTTCATAAAAATCATAAATGAATACATTTTATAAGACATTATACTGTGTATTAATTCAAATATCTAATGATTGATTTTATTGAGTTATATTTAGGCTAAATATCAACTCTAAATATAGTCTGATATTTCTGGCAATTATTATAATTGGGTTTGTTATTAACTGCACATACTGTGTACAGTTTTATAATATATTAATTGATATAGAAATAAATTATAAAATAATTTGTATTTAATAAATAATTCTAATTATTTGCATTAATTTTTAAAAATTAATTTAAAATTACAATATTCTTATAAAAATGAAATTTTATAATGAAATATTTAATGAAATTTTTAAAATTATAACTTTATTGCAATTTTTAAGTAATTTATTTTAATTAAATTATATCTATCAATAAAAGTAAATAATCAGATAATTTTTATTATACAAACATGATTTGTTGCATTAGAAATATACTTTTTATAATTTATAACTTCTATTTAAAACACATAAATATCTTTTATGTATTTTATATAACACAGTATTGATTATATATTTTAATTACAATAATAGTAATAAAATTGAATTTCCTGATAGAACATAATTATTATATTTTAACTGAGCAATAAATTATTGATACTTGACCTTGGCAAAATTAGTAACATGCACATGGTTTTTTTATTAAGGAAATTAAATACTCTTAACAATATATTAATGAGTTGAATAGTCTTCAATAAATTACAGAAAAATTTTAAATATTTTCTATTGATTAAAATTTATTTCAAATAATTTATAATTCTATTACAAAATGCTGATAGTTATCAGAAAAATCTTATAAATAATACTGTCATTTATAAAACATCAGTTCTTGATTATTATTAAATCATTTAAAATTAATTATAAATTATTATGTTACAGAATGAGGTAAATGTTTTTAATAAAAATTTCAAAATAAAAAATTAACAATGTATTCTTTTAATAAAATTATGAACCAAATATGATTTGTGAATAATTAATATTCATAACGTGTAACAAATATAAGTATTTTTGCAATGGCAGTTCCCCCAAAGAGTCCATTATGATACATTTTCATTATTAATTCTAGTTCTATATCTTGAGGACCAGGTATAGATCTTGCAATTGATAACATCACTTCATTAAATGCTGTCCTACGAATCTGAAAATATTCTCTAGACGCAGGATTGATACCTTCAGGAGCCCGTGCACTTTTCAACTCTAAGGCAAACTGTACTGATGTAAAAGAAAATCTTGGCCCTCTCATGGTAAACAAATCTAATTGACCTGAAACTGGTATTTGCATGTTGGAGACAAGAGTAATGAAATTGAATGAATATGAGAGAGGTGCTTTTAAACATTCAGCATCTCCTTGCCGACAATTTACCACAGCTCTTTTGCATCGACTGAAACAGAAGGTAAGGACATTTAAAGAAATCTGCTGTTAATTTTAATATAACATTAATAATTTAGTAATAAAGGGAAAGGCAAATTTACACCAAAATTATTTTAAATTATTTATATTAAAAATTTATAATTAAAAATTNCTTTTAATCTATACTAATATTATAAAGAGGTAAAGTTTGTAAGTTTGAATGTTGGAGGTAATCTCCGAAACTACTCATCCGATTTCAAAAATTCTCTCACCAATATTTAGAAAGGAACTTCAGGGTGGACTTAGGCTGTATATTATTCCATTAAACATTCATATAAATTAAAAGATATCATCTAGGTAAGCATTATATTTTTGGTGTCAGCGGATGGCGAGGGGCAAGATGCGTACATTTAAGAGATAGGTAACTGCATGGTGCAGTCACATGGTCGACGACATATACAGTGCACGTGTCTGAACTTGTATATTATATAGATGTTGAAATCCCCCCGGGGAGATGGACATAATTAAGCCTTACCGTGAAGAACTCTACTTCCATTATACTATTTTAGATGCGGTTTCTTATGTTTTTGATTGCGTTTTAATAGTGTGAGCCAGAGGGTTTACAGGGCGTAAATTTTTGAGTTTAACATATTTTTACATTAGAGAATGAAAAAAATAATTTATCGCAAGTTATAACGGAAATAGAGAGGATGTCAAATTTTATACATCCACAAGGTAGGAAGGAAGAAAGACAAGTCATCGTCCGTTTGTTAATTAGTCAACTTGCATGTACTAATTAGTTGTCATAACGAGTGAACAACCTGTTGGCTCAGTGCCAACGACGATCATCACGGGAAGTTCAGGGCGATCGTCCCCTCAGTGCAACCGTCCCTCTGCGCGATCATCAGGAAGGTCTGATTACAAGTCTTGATCCTGTCCGAGGAGAAGCCGGTAGAAGACATAAGCCTGTGACAGGCAGCCAGCTTCCATAGTCCAGAATGATCGTCGCATACCATCCTCCAACATAAGGTATACCTGACCGCCAATATAACTCTCTCACTCAAGAGCCTTTGTAAATTCTCTCCCGCGGCCTAGTGACTAGTTAGATTGCCATTATAGATAGATTTGTGTTATCCACATTTAAGCATTAAGTCTGTAACTTCCTTATGTATACTCCTGTAAATTAACTTTAGTTATAGAATAAACCTTTATTTTGTTATTTGTTAAACCTGTCTCCTGTCTATCCGAGGAAACCTGTCGACTTACCGACGCACTCCCCACTCGTTTTGCCCTCCTAGCCATCCGAACGACTCCGAGATCAGGCTTTACCAGCCTGTGCAGATTAAGTGGTCAGTACCAGATTACCCCCTGACCCACTGCTTATCTCACAATAGGGTACATCAAGAGAATGTACACTAAGAAGGGGTTTTTCGAAATTTCCTCCCACGGGGAATGTTATACATTTATAATAGATACATTTTGAGCCACAGCAACGCATGGCTGGGTACAGTTAGTATAGAAAATAAATATTAATATGGCATTGAATTAGTTGGTAAAAGCTAATAAAGTTTAACAGAAAAATAAAATAAAAATTACTTTCTTGGATTTTAAAAAAGCTTTAATTTTTGCTTCTAGTACTTTTGAATAAAAAGTTACAAAAAAGTTTTGCAGAAATTATATTATTATTATATCTTAAACTATGTGTGAGGGCCCAGTTGCTGAGATTTGATCCGAACACTTTATTCATTTTCATTGACCATTTCCTACACAAAAAAAAAAAATTGATCATAAAAACTCTGTTCCCACGAAAATACTTCCTTGCAGAAAATAAGTTAACTGTTGTATCATGATTGTGTCATTTAATCCATCATTGGTCCAGAGAGACCCTCACCCTTGACGTATGTGGGGAAATCTCAAAAAGGGAGCCCTCCAATAAAAGGCGGAGCAATGACACATCTCGGAGAGAGGAGTTCTAACATTTGTTTAGTGTGTGTACATCTTGGATTATCACCTCCCGCCACCATTGTCATTCGTCCTCCCAAAGTGATCCCACTTCAGACAGATCAACACATCCTCACTGAACTCTCTTCACTTTGACTTATCCAGAAGTCAACGAACTTATGTTCTCCGACAAGACTGCCGAGAACTTTCTGCTGACGTTGAAAGACTACTGAATATCAACCTTTTTCCCAAGGTATTTATTCTACTCACAATGATATGTAAGCCCTCTCTCAAGTTCTTTCTGTGAATGTGGTCAAGGTTAGGAACCCTTCTATATTGTTAATAACTCCTCCAAATACCTAATGAATCCTTAGATTCCGAGAGATAGACATCTTAAAAACTGTTAGACTAATAGAGTAATTTACTCCTCAAGTCCAGGGCAAGAATTGGTGTTCACTGTAAAGTATGTGTAAATATGGATATTAATAAATGAGAATATGATTATTAATTAACTTGCTGGTGTGCGGTTCTTCCTGAGAAACCATATCTCTTCCATTCCAAACCCGGAAGCCTCAACAAGATCACTCATGCTTAATTAATCGGTCACTGGGTTACTCATCGATCCCACTTAAAACGCATATCTATCTGCGATACATTGATGTCAGACCATGACATGAGATAAGATCTAACGATCCTCATCTCCACAATCCTTTTCCATTCAACTTGAAGCCATCCTTTAGGCAAGCGAGATTGGACCCCAAGGTCTTGTGTCAATTAAGAGGTAGGGGAGTAAAGCACTCTTAAATATCCTGCCCCCGACTAATCTCACATATGATACTGTTCTTTCATTGTTCTGACCATGTTCTTTTTATTGTAATAGTCATAAAGATGAAACTTCATAGCACAAAAGCACCAGAATAAAAATATTAAAGCTTGTTAAATTCAAACAAAGCAGTCATAATTTCATTTTAATTAAGTTTCTCGAGGTGTGATAGGTTTTCAAAATTTTACAAATACATTAAACTTTCTTAACAGTAAAATAAATAAAAATGTCTATCAAAAATAAACATTATATCTCTAATATACTGTAAAACTGAAGCAGTTCCTTAACTATTTCATTTATATTTTTGATTAAAAAGTATCATCATCAATATAAATATATTATACTTACTTTTTCAAGA